AACTGCTTTTTCCTGTCCCCTAGGCATAAACAAACACTTAAAGTGATATTAAAGTCCAAAGGTTTAAAAGCTTTTTCAAATGCTGATTAAATCACTTTCAATGGATGCTGCTCCCTGATGTTTAAAAGTTTTAGTTTTTGGCATAATCAGCTGGTCCTTCAAACACTGGCCCTGATATCCTGTTTTAAGGTGGCTCCTTTCCCTTGCAGGGTCCTATGGAGACACCCTTGTGACTGTGTGTCTCCACAAACACTCAGTACAGCAAGGCAAACCACTCCTCTGCTCCCCTCTCCTTCCTTCTCACAGCCCCAGGCCAGTAGATGGACAGCTGTTGGAGACTGCACTGTGCCTTGTGATCTTGTACTGGACAGGATGCTCAGGGAAGCCAAGCTGAGAGAGTAGGAACCACCTGTTTAGAAACATAACTGTAAGTGCTTGGGCAAAAATGGAAAGAAATACGTTTCTGGGCAATGTATATTAGTTTGATCTGGATTCAGTATTGAAAAAAAGGTTTAACAGTTAAATACTACTTTAACCCCCTAGTGACACAGCTTCAGAAATGTTTTTTGACTAGAGCAATTTTGCCATTTTTACTGTGTTTTCACTAATAAAAAAAATGAAAAAAGCCCCCCCAAATTTTTCAGTTTTGGCAATAATAGTGTGTACATAATTAGTGTAGCTAACTGAAAGTAATTCATAATAAATTATTTTATTTGTCCTGATTTATAGGGTATATCGTATGTCTGGGATTTCAGTTTATTTTGGGAGTTATAGGTCATAAAGTACAAGGAGTGAAATACAATTTTAGTGTGGAACAATTTAGAATGTGGTATGTTTGTCTCCTATCTTTAATAACCTCCTCACCACTATATTTTCTCATAATTCTTTTATTAAACTTTTTTTTAAACTTTTTTGACTCTTTAAACTTTTCCTTTTTTTTGAATCTAACATTTTTTTTAACTTTATTTTTTTTAATTTTAATTTTTTTTTAAACTAGGGGCACTAAAGAGTTATTTTTTTATTTACAGAGGCTTTGATAGTATCTCTGAGTAGAATACAGCATTCTCCTCAGAGATACTTTGTATCAGTTTGTAACACACAGCCTGCTCGTAGGTGCACAAAACAGTGAGCTACTGCCGGCTCTGTGGCCACCTAATCTGCTGTTGAGGGTCTGCCTCTGACCTCTGGAGACCCATCAACAGCAGTAACTCAATGCGCGCTGTTCCCTTCATGGATCAGCACTCATTGTACCACATGATTATCCCATCTATGCTCGTTGATGAACTTAACAAACGTGACGGTATTATCCCTTCATCGGCTGGGAAGGGGTTAAAGAAGAACATCACTCATATACTAAAAATTACAACAAAGGCAACTTTAGAATTGTTTAGTAATTGAATCTACAAACAGTTACTTATAGATAACTTTAGGCATTCTATGCTTCGCATACGTAATTTTTTTTTGCCTCCTCATTCTGAGGGCGAAAATGTGCCATTCCCTAAGATCTTGCGAGATTTTGCAGTTTACAGATGAGATTTCCCAGGAAGGCACTGGTGATGTAACCTTCCCAGGATGCATCTGTGATGTATTTCACCAGAACTAGTGTCCGCACTGGATGATTTCCCATCCCATTCCTGTCTTGATAACCCAAAATTTGGCGTTTTTTTTCACTTTCAGTGATAACATTCATCAGGACAAATAGAGAGGGCAAATCTCCCTAACAGGAACAACAATAAAAACCTACGAGGTATCTTAATCAGCAGCTGCACCAGGGCCCGAGCCTAGGGGGGCCCAGTAATACAGCTAGAAACAAGCCTAGTTGCACGATAGTGCCGCAACCGCCAGCGCAGAGATGGTACCAGCCCCTGATTGCAGTAAGAAAGGAGCTGGGAGGCGAGCATATATAAATGGACTGCAGAGCAGCCTGCAGGCACACTATGGGGCATCGCTGGGGCCTTGGCTGCCAGGACCCAGCGAGCAACCACCCGATTACAGAGCCCACCACCTCTCCCTGGTGCATGGTGTTCTTGCCGCGATGAGGTGCTTGCTTTCATCACTGCTTTCATGTGCCTATGTTCAACTATGTTCTGTGACATTGTTTGTAGCCCTATATAATTCATGGACATATTCTGCATTTCTGTATAAAGTATTGCTGGGAGTTTTAATCCTCCATAGCCGGTACCATTCTGTATTGCAGCAGTCCAGAATGGCACCGGCTATAAAGGACTACAATTCCCAGCAATACTTTATACAGCAATGCAGAATGGTACCGGCTATAGAGGACTACAACTTCCAGCAATACTTTATACGGCAATGCAGAATGGCATAAGCTATAGATGGGATTCTGCATTGCCGTATAAAGTATTACTGGGAGTTGCAGTCCTCTAAAACCAAAGCCATTCTGCATTGACATATAAATTATTGCTGGGAGTTGTAGTGCTCTATAGTCAAAGCCTTTCTGAATTGCAGTATAAAGTATTGCTGGGAGCTGTAGTCCTCTATAGCTAAAGCCATTCTGCATTGCCTTATAAAGTATTGCTGGATTTGTAGTCCCCTATACCTGAAGCCATTCTGCATTGCCATATAAAGTATTGCTAGGAGTTGTAGTCCTCTATAGCTAAAGCCATTCTGCACTGCTGTATAAAGTATTGCTGGGAGTTGTAGTTCTCTATAGCCGAAGCCATTCTGCATTGCCATATGAAGTATTGCTGGAAGTTGTAGTCCTCTATAGCAGCTGTCCCAAACTTTTTTGGCACCAAGGACCGATTTCCTGGAATATAATTTTTTCCATGGACCAGGGGGTGGTTTCCGGATGATTCAGGCACATTTATTGTACACTCTATTTCTATTATTATTACAATGTAATATATAATTAAATAATTATACAACGCACCATAATGCAGAATCAGTGTGAGCCCAGAGTATTTTTCCTGCTCTCAGGTAGCCAGTGTGGGCTCTCAGGTGGCCAGTGTGGGCTCTCAGGTGGCCAGTGTGGGCTCTCAGGTGGCCAGTGTGGGCTTTCAGGTGGCCAGTGGGGGCTCTTCGGTGGTCAGTGGGCTCACAGGTTGTCAGGGAGGATTCAAGCACATTTATTGTGCTCGCAGGTGGCCAGTGCGGGCTCTCAGGTGGTTATTGTGGGCTCTCAGATGATCAGGGGGCTTTCAGGTTGTCAGTTCTGCTCTCAGGTGGCCAGTGTGGGACTTTCAAGTGGCCAGTATGGGCTCTCAGGTGGCCAGTGTGGGCTCTCAGGGGGCCAGTGTGGGCTTTCTAAGAGCCCGGGGGGGGGGGGAATCTTGCACCAGGGCCGTTTGTTCCTTAGGTCCACTCTATCCAAAACTAAAAGCCAAGTTATGGTTTTAGTTGACATTTAAATAATGAAGGTAAGACAATTTCATATCAGCATGCTGGTGTGATTTTTAGTGAAAAGGGTTAAGGTTCCGCTTTAACTGTTATATTGCAGGGTTAGCCCCACTGCAAGGATAGTTTCTTTGGTTCGTCCAAAGATGGGCTTTAAATAATACATTTTTATAGAGATATACATCAGAACAAAAAGAGGGATAACCGAGGAAGAAAGAGGGAATTTGAGTGTTGGTTTCCAAAAGAGGGCAGTTCCTCCAAAGGAGTGACATTAGGGAGCTATAGTGTATGAATAAGTATGTGATCCAGCCATTTTTAGTAAATGGAAACACTAACACATAATTCTGTAAGGTTATACACTGCCTGGCCAAAAAAGGTCAACCTAAGGAGTATTCCCTGGATTTAGGTTGCTTCAGTTGGTTAGGTCTAGGTCCATCAATGTTATGTCCCCAAAAAATGAGGTCAGCTACCTATACTGAATGACCAGACCAGACTGAATATACTGAATGACCAGACTTTTCCATCAATGGATTTTTTTATTCCCTGATGACACAGGCATATTCCAAGATGACAATGCCAGGATTTATTTGGCTTAAATTTAGAAAGAGTGCTTCAGGGAGCATGAGACATCCTTTTCACACACGGATTGCCCACCACAATCCCATTGAGAATCTTTGCGAACGGGGCGTCCCTAGCATTTTTTCTGCCTGAGGCGGCCGGGTTTTTTTTTTGCTGGAGGGTGCACAATCAGTGTGGGGGTGGTGCTGGTGGGGAGTGACGCCACTAAGAGCAGTGCGGGAAGATGTTTATGGGCTCTGCATCCTACCACCCAGATCTCAGCAGCCTGGACTGCTCTGGCTTGTGTCCCACCGAGCTCCTAGGAACCAGTGATGTCACTGGTTGGCAGGAGTTAGGTAGAATGCTGGCAAGAGCATCCCAGGTTGCTAAGGGCCAAGCGGAGAGATGTGTGCGGCCCTCCCTGTGACCCAAAGAGATACCACCTGAAGCAACAGCCTCAGGGTGCCTCATGAAACGGACGGCCCTGTTTGGATGTTCTGGAGAAGACTTCACGCCATAGTCCAACTCTCCCATTATCATTACCAGATCTTGGTGAAAAATTAAATCAACTCTGGATGGAAATAAATGTTGTGACATTGCATAAGCTTATGGAATCAATGCCATGGTGAATGTGTGAAATAATCAAATCTAAAGGTGGTCCGACCAAAAATTAGAGTGCGTTTTTTTAGGGGCCAGGCAGTGTATAATAATACATCATATAACTAAAACAAAATCCATGGTGGTGAGTAAGTGTGGCAGTGCCCCCGAGTAGGAATGGGTTAAGGAACCCATGCCATCTGGTGTAGGATCAGGATGACATCTGGGCGTTTATGAGGACTGTGAAGGGGGAGGAGCCTGTCGGGGATAAAAGGGCTGACAGGCGGCGAGCGTAGCACACAGCTCCGGGAGGGCACACGGTGCAGGTGTACGGAGGAGGCAGTGTCCTCATCCGTGACGACAATACAAGACTGCACACATACATGCTAAGTGATCCCAACGGCAGCACACACAATACACACACGGCCCCCATTACTACATCGCTGTACCATGGCATAGCTCTGACACATCAAAAACAACACAATCCCACAAAAGACATCCGATTGTGAAGGAAATGCGCACGACACCCTGAAATAAGCGGCGGAGACCAGGATCTGGTAAGCGACCTGCTATGGGGCTTGTTTACAATGGGGTCACCGTGTACTTGTGTTGGTGGATGATTTGCATGTGCGATCTGAACGCTGGGTGTGTGATAATACATAGATCGGGGTGTATGGAGATGTGATGTATGCGGGCAGCATTCATCTTTCATCCACATTTAATGGAGCTGTCATTTCATAGAGCTGTCGGGATGATGGCAGGGATCATGTCTTCTAGCATCCTGATCGAGAATCCCCGGTCCTAGTGCAATGTACTACTCATTTCTCCTGGAACTTTTGGGAGATAAACAAGGAGCAGTCTGCTGTCACATCACATAGGGAAACTGCCAAGATTATTTTTAGACATTTAGCAATCCAGTGATTTCTAGTTACATGAAGAAATAAGTGCTAGCTACTCTGCCTTACAGCAAATGATCAAATAGGGTTCTATTGTGTTTTCATTTATTATATGCTACCTGATGGGTGTCTGAAATAAGGCTGTTGGACTGCTGTAAGTTTTCAAGGTGATCTATCAACAATGATGTAGTGCCTGATTGGATTCATATTAATTGGTTTGTCTAGGCTTCTCTGTATATGACATAGTTATGGTAAGTCTAAGGGAGATTGTATAGTGTATGGCCAGCTAAAGGCAGCATCTGCTGAACAGAAAGATGATTATATGGTAACTAAGGCCCCATGCACACCAAGGCGACAGTGTTTTAGCACTGTTTTCTCTCGTTTTTTTGGTAGCAATTCTTTGCACGTTTTTTATGTGCATTTCAGCGTGTATTACAGGCGTTTTCTGTTCATATGTCAGTGCATTTTTTAAAAGCTCGTTTTCAGCTCTCCAATGAGAAACAGGCTCAGCTGCTGAAACGCGCATAAAGAAAAAATGTGCAGAATCGCTCAAAATCAGTGCATTTCCATTGAAGTCTATTGAGCCAAACGAGTTGATCACATGACAAAAGAAGCTCAGGGACTATTTCAAGCAACATGCGTATTTGTACGCGCAATTCTACACGTTTGCGTGAACGGCCCCGATAGGAATGGATGGGATTTTATTTGCATGTGTTCCGCACGACGAAACCACCCTGTTGACAACGGGGTCTAAGGCTTTGTTCAAAATACATGCTTTTTGAGTTCAAGTTGGCATGCACAAAGGAAGGATATAAAAGAGGCTATTGTGTGCTGTTTGTCTAGGTGACACACAGCCATGCCTTTATATGGATATTTCTATATTCATATAAATATGGCCACTTGTAGTTGACAATTTTACTGAATAGCCTCTTATGGTGCCATTATTGTATTTAAATACACAGGCATGCGGGTATTATTATTATTAGTGTATAAAAGGTTATACGGGGCATCCCATAACTGGGGCACCTAAGCCAGTCATACACTGGTATTTTTTCATACGAACGTTTATACCAAAAACATCTCATGAGAACATTCGATAATACTGTTAGAGACTTATTAAGAGAGGACTCAGAAGGTTAGAAAATCGTATACATTTATTCAGTTCATAAAAATTATTTCTCCATGATGAAAGTTAAAATTGAAGTTAATATACAGTATATACATGATTATCGAATCCCTAAATTCCTTGCATATAGATCATACATAATTAATTGTCTATTTCCTAATGTCAATCATTTATCCATCATTATATTACATATACATAGTTGTGCCGCTCCATTGATCCCCTACGCGTTTCACATATGTGCTTCTTCAGGCGGTTCTATTCTCGACAAAAAATCCAGGGATCAGAGGTCATGTAGGGATCCAGTTCCAGGAGGACAGGACCAGTTCCAGTCACCCCGGAAAGTTCGAGTCGCGGAGCCACAGATGCATAAATAGGTCCAGCAGGAATTTTGTATCTTCAAAAGATTCTCCTCTTCGAAATCCACCCGTTTGTTCTTAGTTTCCTGTTACCTGTGTCCTCCTCTCCTGTATGTGCCTCTCGCTTTCATGTGTGCCTCTCACTCACAATTTTCTAACCTTCTGAGTCCTCTTTTGAGAAAACCCCACCACAACTTTTGTTGTTTATGTATATGTACTTGACTAGATTGGTGGTGAGGTCTCAGATCACCTGGGTGTAGATCTTGGAAAGTGCTTTTTTGAAGTGACTGTTGGAGACTTGACGAATGTTTGAATCCACGATTGATTTTGGAATAACCAAAAAACACTTTCACTGTTTAAATTTCATTAATTTGAGAAAAAAATCCAACCTGCTCCTTTTTTTTGATTTTTTTTTTTTTCTTTTTGTGTCTTTTTTCATGACTACGATCAAAAATGATCATCAATATGACCCCAATAACTATTAGAATATCAAATGTCCTAAAATCACTTTTATTTGTTCAACAAAATTCGACTATCTTTTGTGCTCCTTTACTATTATGTACATACTTATCTGGGGGGGATGATGTCTTTTCTCCTGCAGCTGATACAAAACTAAAAGGCAGCTCTATTATCACTTGTATTAACTGGCTTATAGCATTGTGTATTGTAGTGCACAGTAAAGCCAATCAATGGAGCACACAAAGCAAACAGAAACATAGTGGAAGCCCCAGCTGCTGGAAGATAAAACAGATATGTTAACAGGAATGAAGCACTTTAGAGCCCTGGTACCCAATGCTGTGGCCGGGGGCCACATGCGGGCCTTTGGTGTTTGAAGTGCGGCCCTGGTATTCAGTAGGGGGAGCATTGATTTGTAAATGGGACTTTGATAGCAGTGGTCTCTAACTGTTTCATGGCCCTAGACTGACTCTCTCCTATAAAATGGCTTCAGTCCCCGAACGTAGATCAATCTCTGACCATTTCCTCTAGTTCCAACTGCTCAAATATCAGCCAAGTCAGCGGGATCAGTGATGGCAATTTTCTAAACACACTGGTGTCTTTCCCACTGCTAACACAAAGAACATGTAGAAGAGAAGACTTCCACCCTGGTAAACTAGAGCAAATCCAGCCATATATTAGCCATATCCTGCTGATTTGACTGCAGATCTGTGGCCCTGTCGGTACACCTCCATTCGGCAAAAGTCCATTTTTAATCGACTTTTGTTAAAGAAGCCAGGCCAAAAATGCTCAGTTAGTGCAGCCAATCAGCTGCCATCATTGTTCAGGTATTCTGACAGCCATGGTTGTCAGAAAAGCCCATCAGAGGGCAATTCCCCACTCACGCGGTTTAATGTATGGCCAGCTTAAGTCTTAAAGTGACACTAAACTCTGGAGCTAAATCTAAAAAATGCATTCAAGTACCCTAATTATTAATAAAAATGTATCTTATTTGTATCACTCGGCTGTAGATTCTTAAATCATCTCTGAATTGGTGCTGACACTGTCCTTCCTTCTGGAGGGGGGCTACTTTTGTTCCCCACGGTCCCTGTGTGTGTTGTAAAGTAACCACCACTCCAAGATCACTCCTGTGATTGACTACAATCTCATGTTTAGTTTACTAAGCTGTATTGAGATTGTAGTCTATCATGGAAGCGATGGACTACAGCTTGGCTTACCTATAAATGTTTTTTTTATATACTTTGGGATATAATATATATCTATATCCCATTTTCTTTGGTGTGCTCTTTTCCTGTAATTTGGCATGAATATTCTATTTATTCTTCGTATGCAATTTTGGTGCATTAAATTGGTATTCACAAATACTTGATCTAACCAAAAGCTCCAAACAAATTCTGTTTTCTTAGACAACTGTATCTTGTAAATTGATTATTCCTTTTGCTTTCTCACACTCAGGTCTGGTGGTTAAGCATCTCTTGCCTTCTGGTATTCACCAGTCACTGTGGCAAGAAAGATGGCGGAAGGCGCCCGGTTACGAACCAGTGCTGAGAAGATCCCAGAGGAGCAGGGACAGGATTCTGGCTCTGGATCAAGCTCTGGAGGAGTGGCCCTAAAGAAGGAGATTGGGCTAGTGAGCGCATGTGGCATTATCGTAGGTAAGTCGCCATGTGTTATTTCCATTTCAGCTGTTTAGAAGGACTTGTTATAGGATGGGTGACTTTAAAAAAATTGTTTTAACAGTGTTTGCTTTTCTTTTTTTTTTAAATTTGAAAAGTGGCTTCCTTATTACCATGTATATGTACATATCTTTTAATGGACAGATTATGGATGTGAATGGACAGGTTATATCGATTCCATTGTTCAGGCATCATACCACTTATAAAGATTTCAATATAAGAGGATGCGCCCATGTTTTCTACCACTTCCAGCTTTGTCAGTGATGGATGAACTGGGTTCATGTGGAAGATAGACCTTTGAATTTCTTGACCATTGTTGTAAAAGCAATAACAGATCTGCACAGAGAATTGCGATTCTACTCAAACATTTGACATATCCTACCTTCCTCCATCTCTAACTGTCTATAGACAGCTATAGTCGGCTAATCAATACTTCACTTGTTAGAGCATATGACTCCCTAACTTTTCTCTCGCATGACAGCACTGGCAATTGGATGTTTAGAGACCTAGTGCTGTTACTTTGAGGCATGGGGAGAGCACAGGGAAGGTATGTATAGGTTACCAATGAGGCTGCCATTAAAGTGCACCTATTGTGTTGGCCTACATGGGCAAAGCATTAGTTCACTTCAAGAAGGTTACCTTCAGACCTTATTCACATTGCCTGTATATTAAAGCAATTATTAGGTCCAGAGATATAGGTTGCTGATGTTTTTTGCTAGTCTTGACTTTTTTTGTCTAAATGTCGAGGTTAGATCTGTTTCATCCTGCCTTCCAACACTGCCCTTGAATCCATTGAAGTCTTGACTTTTTTTCTTCTAAATTTCAAGCATGGATCTGTGTTGTCCTGCCTTCAAACACTATCCATGAATCCCTAATGTGGTGGACAGCCTCACTGACCAATAGAGGGGCTTGGAAGGCAGAAGGGGATGACCAAGCATGACTTTTACCTGTCAAGATTTGCACATCATTTTTACAATTTATATGTCTGATCTACTAGTCATTTTGATATGCAAATAATGGCAACCTCTTTGTATTTTATATTCATATTTTCACTATGCATTGCCAAGGTTTGTGAAAGGTTTAATTTAACATCTATCTATCTATCTAGATAGATATACAGGGAAGCCTCAGGAATTACTGTATCAGTAACTCCACCTTTTTGTTTTTATAATCACACTAATGTAATAATGTTTTAATGAGACAATAATGATGTCAAGAGAATAATAAACTGAAGATTTCAGGAGCTAAAATAATGAACGGTATTAGAATAACTCTTATCTATGGTACTTGATTGTGTGGGATATGGGCCAGAGCACTTTTCTTTGTAATCTTCCAAGAAAAAGGTCTTCAGGATTCAAATTACCAAAACAGGATGGACCATAATCTGCTGTACAATGGGGATCTAAACACAGGGTGCTTTGTGTTACTGTCACACACAAATAGCACAGACCTGGCTAACAGAGATACCTGTGTTACTCTTAGGCATACACAGTATACATATACCTATACATGCTGTATATAGGTAGAAAGTTTGTTTGCAAGTATGGATATGTATGTTGTAGGGTATAGCTCAAATGGGGATCACCTTCCCTGTGAAAAAGGTAGTCCAGGCAGCAAAGTTCCTTTTTTCAATCTAACTAGTAGTCAGTTTTTATTTAAAAGGTTGCAATAAAATAAAACGGAAAATAAATCCTTGCCATCCAGGCTCTGACTAAACAGGCAGGTTTCCTCTCTACCAGGGGGTGAGCTTATCTCAGCCACCTCACAAAAACAAAAGTACTTTCAGCAACCTTCTATTAACAACCATCCACCTTGTAGCTCTCTCAGAATGAGTCCCAGGCCAGAGAAACATCATTATTCAGCCTTTTCCTTTTATCTCACCTGGATAAGCAATCATTAAGCACTTAACAATCCAGGTGAGAGACAAAACTCGAGCTGGATTATTCAGACCCAAAGTCAGCCTGAAAACCCGGTCTGGGTTCTGCTAATCCTGTACACAGTACAGAAAACGAGGGGAAATATATCGCCCCTCGATGACTTTACCTTTACTTATGTCACAATGTGTACAATGCACATTGACATGTGGTTCTCTTCTAGCAGTTATTTCTGACCTGCTTTTCGCTATCGCTAGCTGTGTCAAAAATTGTTCTGGGCATGTAGGACAGAATGAAGATGTTCTTCCCAGAATAAGTTATCCATCTCATTATAGCTCCTTTTAAAAATCCATGTTGATGATCCATGACAAAAATTGAGGCTGTTTTTTGAGCAATAGTTTTAAAGCCACTGGTGGAACTACCGGGGCCCGGCGTTCCACCTGTTAG